TATCTTCAGATGTAGCTAGCACTTCTGATGCAACCTGTAAGAATTTTCGGTTAATTCTAATTACCTAGGATGTCAGTGTCTAATATATTTTTGAACTTACTGTATCATTTGCTCACTAGCATCCGAAAAGCGAGCGTAGCAGACAAGTTAGATAATACACACATTTGTATAAACATGCTGTCATCTAAGTAGTTATGCGTTGCATTCACACACCATGCCCTATGAAACTAACAAAGCACCCTACTCAAGCCTAATAGGGATTGTCTTGTTCATTGCAGTGGGCTATTTTTCATGACAATGTTCAAACAGATTACCACAATCCATGTAAATAACTGCTCAAACACAGAACTCGATTTTCGTTTGCTACTGTTAGTTTCTTGGTCAATCAAGCACGTACTAGTCCAAAATCTTTACTTCGAGACTTCTATCGCCCTCATGATGTTCTCGACAGTTAATTGTCTGTTTGGGTACACTGTTGCGCCCTTGTTTGGATTCCATGAACCGTGCATACTATCAGTTAAAGTAGTAAGAACTTAACCTACACGGCCATCTTTGAATCTTTCCCGCATAGGACAACAACACTGGCTTAGAAAGTTACCATTACATAAATTTAATCAACACTTCTGCTTTCGACTTTTCAAAATATATTTTTGATGATCTTCCAGAGTCTGTTATTGTTACCAGTGACAGACAGCCATATGCTTTATTGGTTTTACTGCAGCGTTTGACTTCTTTCATCCCGAGGATCTGCAACGTATGATAGAGTTAGCCGCTGTGGCCCGAGGAAACGATCCTTGATTAACGTCTCATTTCATTTCATTCCACCGCTGTTCACGTGCTTGTCCACCACGGCCCCTCTCAACCATTTGATATTCGGCGTGCGTCCTACGTGGTTTCATACTGTATGTATCTCTCGTTTGTCGTCTCGTACATGTTCTGTTTTCACGCCGCCTTCGATCAACTCTGATCGCCGTAGCACTCTTGAATGCTGTCCCCATTACCGCATCTCGGCTTATTTCATTGCCTTGCTTGCCTTAGCAGTAGAACAGGCTAGACAAACGCAAGACAATAACTTTGTTTCGGCGTTCTCCTCGGTTTTATCACAGGTTCTACCTCATACTCATCGTACTTACTCTAACAACGGCTTACTCGTCGTTTCCGCTTATTTAGTACCTTTTAGTGGTCGTTGACAGTGTTTTCCATATTCACAAAAGAATTAGCGACAGCCTCATTTTTTCTTGATTTTTTTGGGTTTCTAGTAGCAGTTAATTCGTGTCGGGTTTTTTGCCGCATAGCTCTTCTGTCACTGAGTTCATTCTAATTTTATATTTAGATAATACTTGAAAACTACGCTTATCCAGGCGTCCTGTTGATTGGTACAGACAGTCATACCCCCAACGGTGGTGGTCTAGGCGGTCTATGCATTGGTGTCGGTGGGGCCGATGCCGTCGATGTCATGGCTGGTCTGCCCTGGGAGCTCAAGTGTCCTAAGGTCATTGGCGTTGAGCTAACTGGCAAGATGTCCGGATGGACAAGTCCGAAGGATATAATTTTAAAGGTGAGTATGCTTATCTGCTACCCCCCCCGTTCAACCTAACCAAGGAGCAAATTGGTGATCCGTTTACAACCCTTCCCCCTTTTGCCGCCAGGTTGCTGACATACTCACTGTAAAGGGTGGTACGGGCGCT